TCTGCTAATGGATCCACTACAGCTAGTGCGACAGGTCCCTCCCTAACTGCCTGTTCGTACAGGAAATACAAACAGCTGCTTCCTGTTTCATGGGGACGATAAAAACAGAATTGTGGAACCAGAAAATTACTTTTAAAATTACTTTTTTATTCTTAGAAACTGTTTATGCCGGTTAAGTCCATCTTAAATATGATGTTACTATAATAATAGAACTATTACTGTTACTATCTCCAGAAGATAAAAACCCACATTGTTATTTAAAGCATCCTGTAACAGAAATGTCTGAGTGAGTTCTGATGGTTTAAAATGTGGACTGAAACATTCAGCAGTCAGTGAAGGCAGCACGGTGTTAGAGTCCACTCTCAAGTGTCGGATTTCAGAGCTTTGACCACAGACACTTTTAACGGGGACGTATGGAGCCCGCCTTAACCGTTACCTGCCGCTTACAGCCCATACCAACAGAACTGATCAAGTTGATAACCTGTTTTTACACAGCTGATGTAATGAAGGCTGAGAGCATAAATACATTATTATTATCATTACCAACCAATAAGCAATCAGCTGTAATTTAATTATCAGGGTACTTCGTAATTGATCAGCTTCAATAATTACAGTCCATCCAGAATTTAATCAGTCAGTTTTTAGATTTTACATGAAAATCACATGTTGAATTTATTGAGTCAGTAATAAACTAACTAACTAACTAACTACTATGTTCTGGTTATGTGCTGAATAATCAGGTAAACTCACATAAACATGGAACTTTTAACTTGAATTTAAGAAATAAACTGAAGTAAAACAGAAGCATCAGTAAGGTATTTAGTTAGCGTTAGCTGAGGTTAGCTAGCTGTCAGTGGATGTGTGTGTCTGTACGTGTGGAGGTGGTTTCTATAGACCAGCATGAAGTCAGACTGCAGGTACTTAAACAGGATCAATGATCAGAGGTTTATAGGGCAGAAGATATCAACTGGAATACCAACATGTCAAATGGAATAACTGCCCCGGGGCATCAAGGGGGTTACCCACTGGCCCCCAGACTGCTGGGCCACAGAGCCTCAGGTTGTTCTGAGAGAGACGCAGAACGACCACAAAGAGACACAACTACGATATTTATGTGTTTTTCTGGTGATCATGCAGTTTAAAGTCAGACCTCAGTTTGTTGGTGTTCGATGTTGTTTGATGTTGTTTGTTGGTGTTCGATGTGTGACAGCAAAGACAGGGACAGACTGCGCACCTGCGAGTAACTATACAGTGGAACGAAGCAGCGCCCTGTGTTTCCATGGATTTGATTGACTTATCACCTCAGGATTTGTGTATGTTTGCAATCAGACAGACCAATCTCTTTCGTCACACTCCCTTTTAGGAGGGCATAGTATAGCATTGTTCCCAACATGTCTGTTGCTTTAGGTTTGAGCAGAGCTGGTGTCGAATCTATTTCTATGCGTTTTTTCTGCATTGCGTCGAACACCAACGAACAACATCGAACACCAACGACAAAGCAATCGAGACAAATTATCGGAAGCAGTCGAAACGACCAGACGAACAACATCGAACACCCAACGAACAACATCGAACACCAACAAACAACATCGAACGACCAAACGAACGAACATCCGAAACACCATCGAACAACACGTCGAAACGAATACTCGGAACATCGAACACCAACGAAAAGCATTGAAACACAACAAACGCCAGAACAAACAACATCGAACACCAACAAAAACAATATCAAACACCACGAGC